CCCAGGACCCTGCATTCACTATATTCGGTCTCCAACAGTACACAGACCATGGAAATGCAGTTTTTTTAGCACTAATTAAAGCTTGTAGGAGGAGTATTCATTTTTCCCTGATTGACCTATGAGGCTGCAGGACCCCCGACCCTCTGTCTGGACAGTGCTGATTGGCCCTGTGCTGATCACATGCACTCTCAACAGAAAAAAAAAACTCTCTAGCAATACACATCAAACTGAGCATGTGCAGCTTGTCTCCAAGGCTCTGTTCTATCAGCAGATGGATTGGGGACAGTAGAAGAAGGGAAGGATCAGAGACGTCAGGATCAAGCAGTGGTTTTACACAATGCAGAGGATTAACCCCTTAGGTTCCACAGTGAGTATACCAAGCATGCTTTAGGCTGGCCATACACTACACAATATTCTTACAATTTTCTGTCCAATTTCTGCCCATATTCCTTTAGATTTACCTTCAACTGTGTAGTGCAAGGGCCTGCCTAACTGGATACAATTGAAAGTGTTGTTTGGGTTTGACCTCCTATCATATGGTTTTTGGTAAATCTACAGCAAAAATCTCAAGAAAATTGAATAATGTATGGCCAGCCTTGTGACGAAACAAAAAAGACCCCAGCCCTTCTCACCAACTCGTGACCGAAGGACCAGCCGATCTCACACACACTGTCACTTGCGTAACAATGCCACTCTTAGCTGCTCCCTGCACAAAGATTTCCAGCTTGCGGGACTTCAGTCTATATGCCAGCAGCCTGATAGTTACTGGGTCAGGTTAATTACGCAATTAACCCTCCACACTGCCACCACCACCTTTTTACAGAGAAGGAGGAAACTCACAAATCTTAGCAGGAACACTATGATATTACTATAAGCGTCTGTAATACACACTGTCACCACAGACAGGGATATTCAGAGGATTATTACATACAGTAGCACTCTTCAAGAGACAGGGATTCTTTAGTTTGCATTAAAAGCTTTAGAGACAGTTTCAACACTTTTAAAAAAATAGGATTTATTACTAAAAAGGTAAAAATGATGCAATTAAAATATTTACAGAAAAAGATGTAACAAAGATACAAAGAGAATAAAACAACATAAATAAAAGAAAGGAGTTCAGAAGGCAGAATACTAGCAAAAGTCCTTTGTTTGAGCCAGGGGCGGACTGAACTTATGGGGCCCCTGTGTCCTTGCCCAAACTCAAAAAAAGTCTATGAAAAAAGTACCAGGGGCATCTCATGGGGCCCCCTACTGACCCCGGGCCCTCGGGCAGTGCCCAAGTTTCCAAATGGTCAGTCCGCTCCTGGTTTGAGCAGAGTCCAATTGTCCAAACAAAAAGGTTGCCTTGGCTCTCACGTCTGTTAGATGTTTTCTGATAGATGTTAAATGAGAGCTGTCTTCTGCAGGCCTGTCAGTCTTTTTCTATCATATCAAAGGGGTGTCTCCTGAGAACAAATGACCAATCATCCAGTTTGGGGATAGGTGTTAGGTGGTAACCAAGGTTATGACCAAATCCCTTACAATTTCATACTAAGGTCAATAACCTTCAATAGGTACAGGTAGCATCCTAGCAACTGTCAGATTAATATTCAGAATTATATTCCAAATGCAAAGATACCAAACATAGTGTACCCTTGTCACCCAGGATAAAAGAGATTGCTTCTTCTCTTGTAGCTACTAATATAGTGATGTAAGGTCTTGTGTGACTCATATTAAAATGATCTATCTGAATATATACTTCATATTAATGTGTCCAGTTCCTGCTGAAGTTTATGAAGTGTATGAAAAATGTCTCATGTGGAATGTACATTTTATGGCACGCTCTAGCCCTAATGGCCTAACAGATCATGACTGACTGACTGAGTTATTGTTTTACAATCGGGCAGAGGAAAGTTGTTTTCAAGCAGACCCCCTGGAACCAGACTAATTAGCGGTATATAGCTCTGGAGCTTTATCTAGCTGTGTTTTATTTAGGATAAGAGGCCCTTTTGACCTCCGTTCAACTTACAGCCTCACATTCCATTCAAAAGGGAGGAGAGAGGATAGGAGAGAACATGGCTGAGACCTAACAAGATGGCTGTCATGTACAACTACATGTCTCTAGTGCGCACAATCGTCACAACCCTAACTGCATATACAGATTTTACTGATGAAGGTTTAGTAACACTTTAATGGCACCTCTACGCATCATCAAAACGCCCACATTTTCATGTGTGCAAAACCATATGGTTCCACAGCACTATGCGGTTTCGTGCAGAGTGATTGAAAGGGTCCAGGACTTTTTCCCCCATGGTTGTGTGAGTAGGGCAGCCCATTAAAATGAATGGGCTTCAGTACCCACAGAATGCAGTTCGCACAGATCTGAAGGGAGCCTAATGGCAGCTATATATTAAAATAAAATGTAATATTCCTGATTTTGAATGTTTCGTGTAATTATTGGGCAATTTCTGTCCTTCCAGCACTCAGAGGCCCTTGTTATTACACAGAGAATTTTTTTCTAGATGTTTTGCAAGGAGTGTGCACTGTTCCCTCACTATATTATTTATTTATTACATTTACTTATATAGCGCCATCAATTAAGCAGCACTTTACATACATATATTTTGTACAGTCCCTAACCCTCAAGGGGCGTACAATCTAAAGTCCCAAATTCACATTCATACATACACATACTAGGGTCAATTTAGACAGGAACAGGGGCGGACTGACCATTTGGGAACTCGGGCACTGCCCGAGGGCCCGGGGTCAGTAGGGGGCCCCATGTGAAGCCCCTGGTACCTTTCATAGGCTTTTTTGGGTGTGGTTTGAGTGTGGGCGAGGACACAGGGGCCCCATGATCCCCTATTGCCCGGGGGTCCCATGAGTTGTCAGTCCGCCCCTGGACAGGAACCAATTAAACTACCAGCATGTCTTTGGAGTGTGGGAGGAAACCGGAGTACCTGGAGGAAACCCACACAGGCACAGGAAGAACATGCAAACTCCAGGCAGGTGGTGCCGTGGTTGGGATTTGAACCATCGACCCTAGTACTTTTATATAGAAGAACGATGCAGTGAAGTATCATATGTGCACTACTGCCACTATGAAGTGGGTATTGTGTTAGATATTGGTAATTAGACAACTGTCTAGATCAGGGGTGGGCAAACTTTTTGACTTGAGGGCCGCAATGGGTTCATATATTGGACCCGGGGGCCGTACCAAGAGTAGATGAATGATGTGTATGTGTCATCCATAGTAAGTATAGTAATATTCCCCCATAGTAAGCATAGTAATTAATCCCCCATATAGTAATTCATCCCCCATAGTAATTCATCCCCCATATAGTAATTCATCCCCCATAGTAATTCATCCCCCATAGTAATTCATCCCCCATATAGTAATTCATCCCCCATAGTAATTCATCCCCCATATAGTAATTCATCCCCCATATAGTAATTCATCCCCCATAGTAATTCATCCCCCATATAGTAATTCATCCCCCATAGTAATTCATCCCCCATATAGTAATTCATCCCCCCTATAGTAATTCATCCCCCATATAGTAATTCATCCCCCATATAGTAATTCATCCCCCATAGTAATTCATCCCCCATATAGTAATTCATCCCCCATATAGTAATTCATCCCCCATAGTAATTCATCCCCCATAGTAATTCATCCCCCATATAGTAATTCATCCCCCATAGTAATTCATCCCCCCATATAGTAATTCATCCCCCATATAGTAATTCATCCCCCATATAGTAATTCATTCCCCATAGTAATTCATCCCCCCTATAGTAATTCATCCCCCATATAGTAATTCATTCCCCATAGTAATTCATCCCCCATATAGTAATTCATCCCCCATAGTAATTCATCCCCCATATAGTAATTCATCCCCTATATAGTAATTCATCCCCCATAGTAATTCATCCCCCATAGTAATTAATCCCCCATATAGTAATTCATCCCCCATATAGTAATTCATCCCCCATAGTAATTCATCCCCCATATAGTAATTCATCCCCCATATAGTAATACATCCCCCATATAGTAATTCATCCCCCATATACTGTAGATATATCCTGTTTTTCATTTACTAGACCGTACACTGTACAATATTTACAAGTAATGTAAAGTATGCAACCATCGGCAGAGATAAATGAGCAATGGGGTTGATTTACTAAAACTGGAGAGTACAAAATCTGGTGCAACTGTGCATAGACACCAATCAGCTTCCAGGTTCTTTTTGTCAAAGCTTAACTGAACAAACTAAAGTTAGAAGCTGATTGGCTACTAAGAAGCAAGATGGTCAGTTTTGAAGTGAGAATATTGGAGGTGTTGACTGGCAAGACAGTTGGGTACGGGGCAGTGGTCTTACAATGGGCAGATCTTGTAAGTGGTTTGCATCTAAAATGCAGGGGCAGACTGACAACTCATGGGGCCCCCGGGCAATAGGGGATCATAGGGCCCCTGTGTCCTCGTCCACACCCAAAAAAGCCTATGAAAAAGCCAATGAAAGGTACCAGGGGCATCTCATGGGGCCCCCTACTGACCCCGAGCCCTCGGGCAGTGCCCGAGTGCTTGAATGGTCAGTCGGCCCCTGCTAAAATGTTCTTACTTTGTATGGAGAATATAAGACACTATTTCAAGGGAAAAAAATGTCTTCCTAGAAATATGCAAAATTCTATCTGATGACAACAATAAAATACATTTAGAGAATATAAGTCATTTCAATATAATATAGGAGTCTCTTCTACCTTTTCCTAGACATACATCTACTGTACATGGCTAAATCCTTGGGAAAAGTCAAGGATTGTGGCCCAATAAAAGGCTGGTGAGCTTGAAAATCTGTACCTAATGGGTCTATGTTTTAAAACATTGCTGTGGGATTATTAACCGCCTCCCTCCCGCCATATAGAATGATGACAAGGCGGTTCTCTCGTTCTGGGAGGACGTCATATGACGTCCTCCCATTCTAACTGTGCATGCGCAGCTCCAGGAGCGCGCAGATCGGCAGAACAATGGATCACCAATCAACGGAAAGAGCTGAAGATGTCGGCTCGGTCATGTTATCAGCTGTGTCCAATCACAGCTGATCGCATGTAAATAGGGAAATGCCGGTTATCGGCATTTCTGTCCTCATGAGCTGTCACGGTGACAGAGGAGAGGAGAGCCGGTAATCGGCATCCCTCAAAGGGGACATGTACACTGATCATCAGGGCACTGATGATCAGTGTGCCCTGATGATCTGTGTAGCCCCAGCAGTGCCACCTGTCAGTGTCCATCAGTGCCAGCTGTCAGTGCTCATCCATGCCACCTGCCAGTGCCCATCAATGCCACATTTCAGTGCCTACCAGTGCACATCAATGCCACATATCAGTGCCCATCTGAGCTGCCTTTCAGTGTCACCCATCAGTGCCAGTCAGTACCACCTATCAGTGCTGCCAATCAGTGCCACCTATCAGTGTGCATCAGTGCCGCCTATCAGTGTGCATCAGTGCCGCCTATCAGTGTGCATCAGTGCCGCCTAACAGTGCCAGTCAGTGCTGCCAGTCAGTGCCACCTATCAGTGCCACCTATCAGTGCCATATATGAGTGCTGCCTTTCAGTGCCCATCAGTGATGCCTGTCAATGCCCATCAGTGCCACCTACCAGTGCCTCCTCATCAGTGCCCATTAGTGCCACTTATCAGTGTCCATCAGTGCAGCCTATCAGTGCCCATCACTGCAGCCTCATTAGAGCACACCAGTGAAGGAGAAAAATCACTTATTTACAAAATTTTATAACAAAAACTAAGAAAAAAAATGGGGGTTTTTTTCAAAATTTTCAGTGGTTTTTGGTTTGTTTAAGAAAAAATAAAAACCCAGAGGTGATTAAATGCCACCAAAATAAAGCTCTATCCCAAAAAAATGATAAAAATTTCATATGGGTACAATGTTGCATGACCGTGCAATCGTCATTCAAAGTGCATCAGCACCAGAAGCTGGAAATTGGCCTGGGCAGGAAGGCGGTATAAGTGTCCTGTAGGCTAGCGGTTAATTTGCACAGGCTCTTGATCATCATGTCCCTATTATGATTATTTCACATGGTCGTCAGCTCCACCTAGTGGCAATAATGAAGAATTTTTTCCCGAAATACATCAATTAGGAAAACTATGGCATGATTGCCACTAGATAGAGCTGACAATCCTAGGAAATTAATGTAATAGGAAAATTACAGTGAAGATTTGGGGAGCCTGTGCAAATGACTGACATATTCACAGAGGGAATTTTTTTCTCTTTTTGAAAATTCTTAATTTAAAGTATCCAGCATTCATAGAATAACAAAATACAATGAAGACATTCATATACATAGTAGTACAGTTGCTCTCCATAAGCAGTCGAATGATACATCAACAGGTGCTGAGATGATCGATCATGGGTGGCTAGTAACAACATAGTCATTGAAAAAAAAATCCTGCAACATAGCTATATAGTCAGACTATCACTAGACTAGAGCTGTTGTCTCCAAACTATGGCCAGTGGGATGAATGTGGCCATTTGCTTACCTTTATCTGGCCTATAGGGCACTGTTCCTCCCACTCATATGAGACATTAAAGCAAAGTTCCACCCATCCTGTGAAAAAATAAAAGTCAGCAGCTACAAAAACTGTAGCTGCTGACTTTTAAAAAACAGCCACTCACCTGTCCCTTGGTCCCATGGTGTGTCCCCCCGCAGCCCATTTCACCTGGATTCCTGGAGGCCGGCATCTTCAGTGTGGGCAACCGGCTTTGACTGCTTGCAGCCTCACAGCCGGGTACCCACTGCGTATGAGCGAGTAGCGCTGCACTTCATGAATGGTCCTGTAGTCTTCTGGGACCTGTCACGTGTCCCAGAAGACTACAGGGAGAGAAGGAGGGAGGATACCTTGCGTTTCCGATTGCCTAGGCGGTCCGACCGTGACTGGGAGGCGGTACATGTCAAATTTTCGGGTACCCGTTCCTCCCGCCCCCCCAAAGGTGCCAATCGTTAATGGGGAGCAGTCCTTAAAGCAGAACATCCCCTTTTGGGTGGAGCTCTGCTTTAATCCTTCCACTATCACCAATGATGAGGCACCATTCTTCACACTGACACCAACATTCAGGCATTATTTCTTCAACGGACACCAAAGATGGGGCACTATTCTTTCCACAGACACCAAAGATGGGGCACTATTCCTTCCACGGACACCAAAGATGGGGCGCTATTCCTTCCACGGACACCAAAGATGGGGCGCTATTCCTTCCACGGACACCAAGGTTGGGGCACTGTTCCTTCCACGGACACCAAAGATGAGGCGCTGTTCCTTCTACGGACACCAAAGATGGGGCGCTGTTCCTTCCACGGACACCAAAGATGGGACACTATTCCTTCCACAGACACCAAAGATGGGGCACTGTTCCTTCCACGGACACCAAAGATAGGGTACTGTTCCTTCCACGGACACCAAAGATGGGGCACTGTTCCTTCCACGGACATGAAAGATGGGGCACTGTTCCTTCCATGGACACCAAAGATGGGCACTATTCCTTCCACAGACACCAAAGATGGGGCACTATTCCTTCCACAGACACCAAAGATGGGGCACTATTCCTTCCACGGACACCAAAGATGGGGCACTATTTCTTTCACGGACGCCAAAGATGGGGCACTATTTCTTCCACGGACACCAAAGATGGAGCACTATTCCTTCCACGGACACCAAAGATGGGGCACTGTTCCTTCCATGGACACCAAAGATGGGGCGCTATTCCTTCCACGGACACCAAAGATGGGGCACTGTTCCTTCCACGGACACCAAAGATGGGACACTATTCCTTTCACGGACACCAAAGATGGGGCACTGTTCCTTCCACGGACACCAAAGATGGGGCACTGTTCCTTCCACAGACACCAAAGATGGGGCACTGTTCCTTCCACGGACATGAAAGATGGGGCACTGTTCCTTCCACGGACACCAAAGATGGGGCACTATTCCTTCCACAGACACCAAAGATTGGGCACTATTCCTTCCACAGACACCGAAGATGGGGCACTATTCCTTCCACAGACACCGAAGATGGGGCACTATTCCTTCCATGGACACCAAAGATGGGGCACTATTTCTTCCACGGACACCAAAGATGGGGCACTATTTCTTCCACGGACACCAAAGATGGAGCACTATTCCTTCCACAGACACCAAAGATGGGGCACTATTTCCTCCACGGACACCAAAGATGGGGCACTATTTCTTCCACGGACACCAGTGATGAGGTATAACCTCATATGGGACATTTACACAATGCAGAGGATTAACCCCTTAGGTTCCATAGTTAGTATAACAAGCATGCTTTACTGCATATACAGACTGATTTTACTGTTGTGGGTTTAGTAACACTTTAAGGAAATTAACTATATAAATTCTCAATTCACAGTAATATGAATATTAACCATGACTATGTATTGTATTATTATATTTTCATATAACAAATGTAACAGCACAATCTGCATTTTACAATGCATATAGCCATAAATTTGAACGGCAGGCTGTACTCTAGACGTGCAGCACCTGGACACTGGAATGCCTATAATAACCCATTTGCATGAACCCTAACACTTCAATTGGAATATATAGTCTGGTCCTAGCTCCTCCTGGCTCCAAGGCACAGCTAAGGCTGCAATTATGAAGAGGACAGAACCAGATCAAATATAGGCAAGGACCAATCACAACTGTCATAAAACAAGAATGCATCTAGTGAAGTCATAAATCCCAGCCTGCATTTTAGTTCTGAGTCAATGACTTACAATGGAATGGAGTTCAAATTTACAGCCAGTTAATCAGCATTTTCACAAGGGGGTTGGAATGATAGTACAAGTTTTTCTCCAATGACAAGATACAGATGGTGTTCTTAATGCAGAGCTCCAAGCTCCCCCCAAAAAAATTACAAATAGCTGCTGACTTTTAATATAAGGACACTTACATGTTCAGGGATCTAGTGATGTCCTCACTCGGGTCGATTCTTCAGTCGGCTTCAGGTGCAGGTGCTGGCATATTACTGCGCATATGTGAAGCACGCTGCACTTTGTGTATGGGTCACCAGGACTGCTGTTAGAAACCACAGGGCCCCATACAGACAACCTGACAGGGCCCCCCTCCCAAACAAAACAGTTGACCATGCTTACTATGATTTAGTTATGAACGAATACAGTGAGTGATTGGTACCAATCACTCATTGTATTCATTCAGGAAAGGAAGGGGCTGGTAAATGTGACATATTTACAGGACCTTTCCCCCACTTTCTGTCCTGAAGGATCCTTTTGTGTGCTTACAGCTGCTGTTGGAAAGGAGAGGAGGGAAGCCAGCAGTACTATGGGGGCACACAGGGGGGCCTGGACAGCAGGGGGAAATGTATGGTGCACAGGGAAGGTGATGGGTGTGGTAGCGGGTATTACTGGAACCGATCCCCTGTATGGCTCTCTGCAGGAGCTGAAAGCCAGAGAAGAAGCCAGCTTTTAGCTGCTGCACAGAGAGACATACAGGGGATCAGTTCCAGTAATTGTCCCCCTGTCACACTGATAACCCTCTCTGCCCACATCCAATTCACCCAGCTGCCTGTTCCCCTCTGCTGGCCTGGGCCCCGTAGAGAAGGAATGGTGGTACCCACTTATCCATGGCGCTGTGGGTCACAGTCTTCAGGGACCTGTGAAGTATTCTAGAAGGCTACGGGGGAAGGAGGGGGCCGAACTTCCGGCTCAGATTGCCACAGCACATCTGACCAAAACTGGGGACAGGTACCTGTCAAAACCAGGTACCCCCTCCCCCCCTCCATAAATGTGGCAGTGGAGAGGGGAGGATGCAGACAAGTGGAATTCCCCTTTTGGGGGAAGTTCCGCTTTAATGTTTTTTCATAAGCTTCGACGTGAAAACATCAGACTTCCTTTAGTCCAAATGTCTTGAAGCACAGATTTCTGCTTTTCTAAATATTAATAAAAAATTAGTGATGGAGCTGAGTCCTAGTTTAGATGAATATTCCAGTTGCAGATTCATAGTAGCCAAGGAAAGCGCTCTAAAGTTCAATGGGCCAGAATCGGTCCTTAGAACTCAGGGGAGAGAGGTGAGCAGGGGTGGACTGACCATTCGGGATCTGGGGCACTGCCTGAGGGCCCAGGGCCATTAGGAGGCCCCATGAACAGGGCCTGCATTCTGGCTTTATCTACATTGCACAAACAACTAGAACTCAGCTGTGCTCTAAAGCCAGTGGTTCTAGTTATTGTCTATAGCTGGGGTCTCCAAACTTGCTAAACAAAGGGCCGGTTTACTGTCCTTCAGACATTGGGAGGGCTGGACTGTGGCTAATGGGAGTAGAAAATGCTTAATTTTTTTGTATTATAGGAGGAATAGTGCCCCATTGTTGGTATCAGTGAAGGAATAGTGCCCCAT